TGACCTCGTTGTCGCAACTTGGTCTTGTTGTCAGGGCGACTAAGTAGAACGCACCTAGTCCGAAGTCGTCGACCATGGAGTTGGTACATTCTCAGACGTTTCGCCGGCATCGTGAATGACAAAACTTACTGATGAGAATGTATCAAGTCAACTGTCGGATGCTGGGAATCATGACAACTACTATGACAGACGACTTCGAAATCGGTGCATTCTACTTAGTCGCCCTGACAACAAGACCAAATTGCGACAACGAGGTCAACCCACTTCTTCTGTTTTGGTTTGCGGTGGTGTGACTGTCATGTGGATAGACGTAGCCTCCGTCGCCAGGCACGAGCAAATGAAGACACATCAGCTCTACCATTTTGTAGACACACCAAGCAATTGAGTGAAATAAAAGTGGCTGGAGCAGGTTTCATACTTCATATGACTTTGTCATTGCAAAATCACACAAAGCAAAGCCACACATCCAAGTATGCCTAACGACTGTCCGGATCCTACAGTTGATTAGTTCATACAAGGACATGGCTTTTCTTTCATGCATCAATCTGAGTGCATGTTGGACACTCGAATCTGGGGATGCCCGTTTAGGGTGACAAAGTCCCACCTCAACCGGCTATCCTGATTTTGTTGGCCCACAGAATTGCGTGTGTTTTTGCGTAGAGTGTGATTTCTGCGTGTGACAGTTTCTGTCACAACGGGGCAAAAAAAGGCTGAGCACGGGCCTCTTTGCACCTCCCGACCAATTCCAATTCTCCGGCTTCCGGTGAGACGATGTGGCATATACCTTCCCATCAATTGGGCCCTCGAAAGGGAGATTCGAGTCATAATAACCCCAGTCGCTTTGCCTGCTTTTGCCATTCAGACCGCAGCTCGTCTCTGACAACCGAGGGCTCGCTTTGCATCACCGAGAGGAGTGGCCCCGAGACCCCTTTTCACACGAGTCCGAACAAGCCCAGTTCCGTAGACAGCCTTGGCTCGAGTCCCGCAAAGGACGACATCGACGAGGACCTGGAGCAGGCCTTCAACATGCAGCAAGCCGTGGTCAACTCGATCGCCAACTTGGAGGAACAGCGCGCCAGCAAATCAACCGAGAGCATGATCCAGTCGGCGCTAGACCGGTACGTAAAGCGAACTGTCTCAGTTTGAAGGGAACATGCCTGCCTCTTGTTCGAAATGCTTTTTGGACAGTTTCGAGGCCTACTTTCACTCAATATAAGTAGTCTAGTCGATGAGAATGGCAAAATGCATGTTGAGATGTGTTTACTCTATTCCGTTTAAGTTAATCAGGGGACGACTGGTAGCTGAATTTTCCCACTTTCAGCAAAATTAATATCATCCTAGTTACGAGCGAAAAACGCAAGTTGGCCTCATCAAAAATCCCAGTACAAAGGAACGATATGGAAGGGTGTATGGCCTTTGTGGGAACCGGAATCTGCCATTTCACGCATAGGCTCGAGTCCCGCTGGGGGTGTTGATGAGGCCGGATTAGGCGAGGTGGAAACTGCAATCCAGTCGTTTCTGGGCTGGATGCAAACAGCTTTCTACGAAATTAGGCCTGTGGACATCAACAACAGCTTGAAATATGATCATGTGATTTCGGGAACTAGGATGATGGAAGACTTTTCGGGCTTTGTTGCAGATGAAAAGGCCTTCATGACCTGTTCAAATGTACTGCAATCTTGTCTACGTCGTTTACTTTGTTTGTTGAGAACCGGTTCATTTCGTGTGTTTATTTGCACATGTGGATGCATCTTTGCGGGTCTATGTCGATGTATGAGCCAATTTTTCTTTTGCTCCGCCTGGAAGTATTCTGTGCATACTTTGAATGTTCCGTCGTGTCAAGCACGACGTCTTGTAAAATGTTTCCTCTCCCTTTGGGGGAAGAGGAGCATCCGGTGGGTCACAATTTTGTGCAGGGTTCAAGAAAAATCCATCCCAACTGTATCCTTCCGAGACCCCCGGCATGGTTGGACGAGTTGCTGATCTTGCCCTGCTCGAACATTTGTTGTTGTCTGCCGGTCTGGACAGAATGCTGGTCTTCTATACGGAGCATCATTTCTGCTCGATACCTTTGCAGAATCTCCTTTTAGCCACGGCACGAAGAGCAATTTCCCAGCGTCTTTCTCACATAGACCGGACCTACGAGGAGAGACTTGGTGAAATGCTGTTAAATAGGTTGGATTGTTTGAAGCTGTTTGAATATGACTGAGGCAGGACAGTTATAGGCAGGATTTTTTATGTGTTCATGTACTACTCTGATTTTAATAAGTAGTATTTAATTTATATGAGAAAGCATTTGATCTGTAACCTACATTTTACCTGCTCCTAGTTCAAGGTGTTCCATCTACACCAATCTCACGAAAAAATGTCTTCGAATGGTCTTGGTTTGCCTGGAACACCACACCTGAGCCACGGGCACCCAAGACTGTGGTTCAGAGTGGCAAAGTTTACAGTTTTGGATCTCTTCGTCAT